CCTCCTGCAGTTGTCCTCAGCCACTGGTCCAGTCAGTCCAGGTCTCTAATGCAGCTAATATCCACCTTTCCACTCTTGTTTTTCGTGAGTTGTAGGTGCTGACAAATCCAGGGTTTGACATTTGTAGTCAGTGCCCTGAGCCTGTGCTGTGTTGTGTGACTGCTGGAATAAAGATCTGGCTGTGTGGATTGCACAGTAGCCTCAGGATCTTAGCTGAGTTTAGGGTGGGTTCAGAAAATTGATTCGAACAATAGCCATTGCCATTTCACTGGGAATGGTGAATATTTTACTATCGAAGCACTAATAACCTTCTCTGAGTGGGGTTATACTGTTAGTGAAGGCTGGGAATTTCCAGTGGGGTTAAACTGTTAGTGAAGCTTGGGAGTTTCCATGAGAGTTTAGGGCATTTAACCATGCAAGAGCAATAGGAACAGCAGTGTCAGCTCCTCTGGCTCTCTGTAAGAGATGCCATATCAGGTCATACCCAAATTGCTGCTTCATCTGTTTTTTTTGTCTACCAGAACAGCTAAAGGGATAACTGTAGGAGCAAAGTGTTCCTTGAATGTTTTTCCTACTCTCCAGTTATCGGAGGTTTGGATAGTTCCTGAGATGTATGACACATGTTTGTGGCTAATAACCCTGGGTGGAAAAAAAAAAAATCACAGAAACCTCCCTGCTCTTTCATATCATTGACATGACTGACATGCAAATGTAAATGCTATTTACATTTCATGTCATTGCTCAGCTTTTTGCAGATTTATGCTGTTTTGCTCATGGGCATCTCCCTCCAAACTAAGGGGTCTAACCCACCTTGGTTCATGCTTTCTATGGCAGCTATTTCATTCCTGTGAACTTCGTTGTTGCCATTAACTGCTGCAACTTCTCCAGTTCTGGTTTCAACTTTTGGAGATGAACTGGAATTTATGCAGGTGCTTCTCAGGTTGATACAGTGGCATTATTGTTCTTCTGTAGGAAATCCTAACCCTGTTTGCTTTCTTGATAGCTGAAAGCTATTGAACTGTTATCTGGTGCAGGAGGGAGGGGGTTGTCAGGCTCATTTTTCTGATGCTAGTTGATAGCAAATTTAGCCTTAACTTAAACCTCTATAGCAATTTCTAGTTCCAGGTGTTGTGGGGAAGAGCTTGAAGATGGATTCTAAACACCCAGTTATAAAAAATGTAAGATACCCTTTAGGTGTATTACAAGGTGTAATTTATGACCTGATCTCATTATTCAGGGCTTGCAGTGGAGTTTTTGAATGCTTCTAGCTGGCACTTGAGGTGAATTTTTGCTCTGTTCTCTACTATGTTAAGAAAACAAAAGGAAAAAAGAAAAAGGAGAGGTGGAAAAAAAGAGAGAGAAAAGAAATTACTTGCCTGGAAGCTACTCAGATCAGATGGACGTTACAGGTGTAGCAGTGGCAAAGGGACAATAGAGGAGGATGTTAGTTATAAAACACTTGTGTAATTTACTGAGCACCTGTCTCAGGTTGGGAAGCACCTGGATATGAAAGTGAGAACAGAAAGGATGAGATAGTAAGGTGAAGAAGTTTAACTCATAGGTGCCTGACTTTTCAAGTACCCTAAGTGGGAAGAGTACAAGATTGGAACCAAAGGCCATTGAGGCACTGGAGCGAGTCCAGCCAAGGGCAACAAGGGCAGCAAAGGGCTGGGAAACCTGTGGGATGAGGAAGGGCTGAGGGAGTTGGGTTTGTTTAGCCTGGAGAAGAGGCTCAGGGGTGACCTCCTGGCTCTCTGCAACTCCCTGCCAGGGTTGGAGAGAGGTGGGGGATGTGTGTCCTGCCATGGCTGCAGGGAGAGGACTAGAGGGAATTGGCCTTGAGCTGAGCCAGGGCAGAGTCAGATTGGATGTGAGGAGAAATGTTTTCCCTGTGAGGGTGTTGAGGCACTGGGATATTGCCCAGGGAGGTGGTGGAGTCACCATCCCTGGAGGTGTTGAAGAGGCATCTGGATCTGGCACTGGAGGATCTGGTTTAGGGTTTAGGGGTTCCAGCAGTGACAGGTTAGTGGTTGGACTGGATGATCTTAGAGGTCTCCTCCAACCTTGATGGTTCTATCACTCTATAAAGCATTAGTTTTCTGGACTGCACCTTTAAATCTCTCTGCTCCAGAAATAGCATCTGTGACTGTGCTGCTAAGTACCAAAATAGAAGTCTGTTTTATAAACTGAGGCTGATGTGGCTTTCTGCCTCTGTTTGTGTTACTCAATGAGATGGAAGTACTGTTGCCCTGAGAAAGGCAAAAAACAAGCCAGTGGTCACAGAGATAAATATTTCAGGCCTAAGTTTGCCCAAAGAGGTGGTGGAGTCACCATCCCTGGAAGTGTTTGAGGCATCTGGATCTGACACTGGAGGATCTGGTTTAGGGTTTACAGTGGAGTGACAGGTTAACAGTTGAATTGATGATCTTAAAGGTCTTTTCTGACCTTGATTCTGTGGTATTTTAGCTAAATCCATAGGCAAGCTGTTGGTTCTGTTTCACAGCAGCATTACACTGCCAGCTCACAGCACTGAAAGGCCATCTTAAAAATGCTGTTGGGATTTAATTAGCAAAGTGTAACTAGTTTTCTCTTTGCAGTCTTCTTCTTGATTCTGTAGTCCCATACCTAGTTTGTTTATAAGCAGCGGCAGATCTGCACACAACGACAAACCAGTCATAGCTTTGGGGTTTATCTAGCAGTATGAAGTTCTAATGTTCATTTCCCCACTTGAAAAGAATTCTGATTTATTTTCTCCCCCCTAAACTGGACTCATTTGAGGCTGTGCTCCTTTGAACACCAATGTCTGTCACAAATGAAGCAGATGAGTGGCTAGCAGGTCGCAGGGTAGGCTGCACAGGGCAGAGAAAGCATCTTGGAGCTGATTCTCAGGCCTTGCTCAGGTTGTGATCCTTCTTGATGACCTAGCACCAGTGGAGACACAACTCTACTCATGGTCCCATGGCATTGGAATGTGATGCCCAAGGAGGTGGTGGATTCACCGTCCCTAGAGGTTTTCAAGCTGAGACTGGATGTGGCACTTAGTGCCATGGTCTAGTAACCACAGTAGGGTTGGACTTGTTGATGATCTTTGAGGTCGTTTCCAACCTGGTTGATTCTATGATTCTATCATGGGGAAACTTGACTTTTAAAATGTGATTTTTAAGTGGAATTCCCCAGCTGCAGGAACAGGGCTGGTGTTTTAGCTCTTTGGGACTGTTTGGTGGGAGTTCACCGAGTAAGTGAACACAGATGAGTTTGATTTGAGTCATCTTTGTTCTGTATGTGATGAACTTTTTGTACTCCACTTCATCCTTGTTCTGCGTAGCTGAGGACAAGAGCCATGACTAAAGTGTTCATAGAATAATAGAATTTAAGGGTTGGAATGGACCTTATAGATCATCTAGTCCCAACCCCCTGCCCTGGGCAGGGACACCTCCTCACTAGATCAGGTTGCTCAAGGCTTCATCCAGCCTGGTCTTGAAAATGTTTCTTGTTAAATGTTTCTGTAACATCCAACATACACTTGATAAACAATAAATTTTCATTATGCTGCTATTCCTGCCAGGAATAAACACGTTTATTCATCCTATAACTCTCTGTTATTCAGGTCCTCTTAAAGATTGTCTTTTCCTTCGTGTTTCTCTCCTCAGTCACATGAGAGGTGAAGCAAAGTATTTTTCTGCCAGTGATTTGTTCTCTTTGAAAGGAAGAAATAGGGTTTGGTGTGATAACTTCTCAGTGCTCGTGACTTCCATTCCACTGCTTGTGATTTGGGGAGATTTCTTCCTTTGCTGTCTCACAGCTCAGCTTTGTGGCAAAGCTGTCACAGACTTCCCTTATGCCAGAAGAAGCTGATAACAAGTGATAATTCCTAGGACACAGAGATCTGTACAGTAATGTTGTTACTGAGCTTTATCTTTAACCCAATTTGTTGTTGTTCAATATAACCCAAACAAATATTCTTTTTTTTTTTTTCCTTTTTAGGAGTTACTTTTAGAAGTTGAAGTCAGGGAGAAAATTCCTGTTCAAAAATCAAGTCTGGACTAGTGACCTTGGGCTCTCTCTTTATAGAGTGAACCAGGCCAAAAATTACCTCTGCCTGTTTCTTTCCAACAGCTAGAGAGAGTTTTGGGGTAACTAGCTCAAACTTGCATGTCTGATTTTTAGTCCTTTGTAAGGAGAAATGAGTCCTACTATTCCTGTTTCACCTGACAGAAATGAATGGTTGGAAATGTCAGTAATTGCACAGTCCTTGGGTGGTTAAGGATTGAGCCTGAAGCATCTGGGAATGTGCTCTGATGCTTGGATATCAAAATTCAATCTGCTTCTTGATGATCTTGCACCATGAAGATACAGCTCTTCTCATGGTCACATCATGGAGAAACTTAACATTTGAAAAGTGATTTTTTGAGTGGAGTTCACCAGCTGCAGGAACAGGACTGTGTTTTTTCAGATGTTTAGGCCTGTTTGGTAGGAGTTCCCTGAGCAAGTCAACTGAAAGCTCATCTGATCTGTGAGGAGAATGTGCTTTCCCAGAGGTGCAACTGATCTTGTGCCCCTTGATGCTCAATTTGGTGTGTTTTTTCTGTCAGTCTGAATACCTGGTTGGCTCTCCTTTAAACCTTTGCAGTCAGATGTTGAGAGAGTCCAACCTACAGGACAGTGTCTTTAGGCCTGCTTGAAACTGGTTTCTGTACACAAATAGAATTATTCTTTCTAGGAATAGATTAACCTGGAATGCAAATGCCCTTTTAGCCAAAATGGAGGTAAAGCTGTTTATTAATATTGATCCACCAAAACAGCAGTTTAGTGAACCAGGGTGAAGCTTCAGTTGTACTTCAGAATCATGGAAACATCAAGGCTAGAGGAAATCTCTAAGACCATTGAGTCCAACCATTAACCTGTCACTGCTGAAACCCCTAAACCAGATCCTCCATTGTCAGAAGGAGCTGTAAAACTTTGGAAAGTGAAAGAGGGAATGGCCCTTAATTTTGGTCTTTTTTTTTCCCTTTTGTCTAGACATGAACAGAACATTTCCAGATAATGTGAAGTTCCGCAAAACAGCTGATCCATGTTTGCAGCACTCGCTCTACAACATCTTGGTGGCTTATGGGCATCATAACAAAGCAGTAGGATATTGTCAGGTAGGTAATCACTGTGCTTGGAACAATGCTGCTTTTCACCAATGGCAATCAGAGAATCACAGAATGGGTCAGCTTGGAAGGGACCACAGTGGGTCATCTGGTCTGACTTCCCTACTCCAGCAGGGCCACTCTAGAGCTCATGGCTCAGGATTGTGTCCAGATGGTTCTTGAACTCCTCGAGTGAGGGAGAATCCATGACCTCTCTGGGCAGTTTGTTTTGGGTGCCACAACATGAGAAAGATATTAAGTTATTGGAGAGTGTCCAAAGGAGTGTATGACAAACTGCAGCTCTACCACCTCAGTATCACATGTTACCACTTTTTCCCTCCTTATTCACCGTTTGCTTCATTCAGTTTTTCCTGCCTCTCTTTCTGAAGAAATTTCAGGACCTGAGGGAATGGGCTGAAGTTGTGTCAGGGGAGGGTTAGGCTGGAGATTAGCAAATGGTTCTTCCCCCAGAGGTGTTTGGGCACTGAACAGCTTCCCAGGGCAGTGAGCACAGCCCCAAGGCTGACAAAGCTCCAGAGGTGTTTGGCCAATGCTCTCAGGCACAGGGTGTGATTGTCAGGGATGTCCTGTGCAAGGCCAGGGGTTGGACTAAATGATCCTTAACAGTCCCTGCCAGCTCTGACTGTGCTGTGATTCTGGTAGAATTATGAATCCTCACTTTGCAAGTGTCAGGCTTCTATATAGAGGGGATTATATGCCACATAATATATATACAACATCTGTACCGTGGTAGCTTCTACCCCAAATGCATATCCTATTGTTACTGAAAAGTTTTGGTACCTTTGCTAGGACAAGGGCCAATGGGTTCAAGTTGAAGGATCGTAAATTTAGGCTAGATATCAGGCAGAGGTTTTCCCTGTGAGGGTGGTGAGACACTGGCCCAGGTTGCCCAGGGAGGCTGTGGCTGCCCCAACCCTGGCAGTGTTCACAGCCAGGTTAGATGAAGCCTTGAGCAACCTGGTGTGGTGGGAGGTGTCCCTGCCCAGGGCAGGGGATTGGGGCTGGATGATCTCTAAGCTCCATTCCAACCCTTAAAATTCTATGATTAACTTTTTAATGGGCTAATGAAACAAGAACTTAAGAAAAACCTCCTGTGGTTTCTTTGCACGTCTTGTCTCCTCACATGGTTCATGTTTTTAGAAGTATATGTGGAGTATTATAGGTGTATTATGAAAGCAAATGGTTTGTATTGGATGAGTTAAGCAGCAACAGCTTGTAAAAGCTGCTGGAACTGCAACTTTTCCCTGAGAGAGTGCTTGGGTTGGGCATTCTCCTCCTGCAGCCAGGCTGTACCTGCAGGTGTGTTGTGTTTGTACTACTCATCTAATACACCTATGTTTTGGTTCTGAGCTAAGCATTTTCAGTTACAGTGGGTCGGGGCTTTGGAATCAAGGAAAAAAAAAAGGAAAATTCAAAGGAAAGTATAGACCACTAAAGCTTTTCCTTTTAATTTTCTTCTTCTTGATCTCTGTTAATTACTCTTGTCAGCTGCTGTCCTGAAGGTTTAACAAGTTACTGAACCAGTGGCCTTCATTACCAGGCCTTACTTAATATGCACACTTTGTTCAACTGGAGGAATTTAGCCTTTCATCAAAAGAGATCAACTAGAAACTCTTAAGATACGTTGCATGCATCTCAAAACCCTTCGTTCACTTTCAGGGCATGAACTTCATTGCTGGATACCTGCTGCTTATTACAAAGAGTGAAGAGGAGTCCTTTTGGCTGCTGGATGCTCTTATTGGAAGGATATTGCCTGGTATGCTGAACACATGGGTAGTTGCATTCTTATATTGGAGCTTGGCTTTTCTCTTTGCATTCTTCTCCTTTTTTAGAGGGTTTAGATGTTAAAATGGACTTGCCTGGATTGAAGATTTTCTAGGGTCATGGAAACACAGGATAAAGACACAGAACACAGGCAAAAATTGCCTATGTTTGTAGTCAGATTTTAGTGTTGATGCAGTAGTTTGTGTATGTTAATTTGCAGTCTTTCTTCTCACTCCCTACTTGTACCCTAGTAGGTGTATGTCGTCTTCTTAGGTAGATGTCTTCCTCTCAGTACAATGCTGGGGAACAGAGCTGGAAAATGTGTCTGGGATTTGGCACTTCTGGTTTCAGGAATGTGGCACAACACAGAGATGGAGCAGTGACTACAAAGCAGATTAAAGATGGGAGATGGGCACAGGTTGACCCCTGAGCCTTAAGCAGGAACTCTTAGTGGCTTAGCAGGAGGCAGCATGAGCTTTCATAGAATCATACAATCAATTGGGTTGGAAGAGACCTCCAAGATCATCAAGTCCAACCCTACTGTGGTTACTAGGCCATGGCACTAAGTGCCACATCCAGTCTCA